CCGATTAACAATTCGGATAGGTTATTACTTATAAGTCCATACATCCAAGATTACAGAACTTGGTATTCGCATGCCGTCACCCATCTCTGTACAGAGAAAAGACTATTCAACGACGATCACTGAGAACGTATCGGCGTTATTTTAGTTAGACTTCAACTTCGTTAACATGGCGATGGTTAGACCGTGTTCGAATCTCCACATGATCAAAATTGGGATCATGGTAATGTCGGCCGCCTCGTGATATGATTCCAGCGAGCGGTACCGTTAGGAATTTCTTGACAACAATTATCACATATTGACCCATGACTCACCAGTTAAACTGTGTTGAGGAAACTGTTGGGATGCCGTCCGTGATTGTGCTAGACGGTCACATGTCCAGTTTTAATGTAGACGCAGAAGCTCTTTAACCTTGGTTGGCCAATCTCTCTAGAGATGGTCACTCGATCAATCCCTCAGCAGCCTGGATACAAATGAGATAACAAACTGACAAAGCTTATAATTCTTTCAAAAGTAAAGTCACGTGACAGTTACATAGAAGTCTATCTTGTTATTTGAAAATCGCCACTAACGTAATTTCGCTCCTCTTGTGATCAGAAAGTGAAATAATTAAATGTACATAAACTGTATGAAGTTGCTTAATATGTTTGCTTGCAAAGTATTTATTACAGCCTTTACGATAAAAGAAAAACATTTTAGAATTATTGAATAATGTTTAGCTGGTCTCATGCCAGCTTCAATTTAGTTAGCTGATTTTGATTCGTTGAAATGCGTATAAAATACTCGACCGGAAGCGCTTATGATAAATTAAGCAATGCCGATTCTTTTTAAAGTCGGAATATAATTGGCCCAGAAAAGAATATAAAGGCTTTCAAGTGACTCTCAAAATGTCATATATTAACCATCACACCGCGAATAGATATTGCAGCTAATGAAGCCACTCATATTTTTACGCATCATCGACAGATTTTTTAAATGACTAATTTCTTTTCTACGATTCATCTGATAGAAATAAACTCTTGTAATATAATTCTTCATTAATCTATCGATTGGTTTTACTGTTCCTTCAGGTAAATTAACTCTTTGACTGAACTATTTTAAATATAGGACTGCCAAATCCAATTTTCTAACAGCCAATATAGTTGGATAGCGGCAAGTATTTTTACAGGTGTATTTTTATATTATTGGGTTGGAAATAAAATCTGTAGCGTCCTTTAAGTCAATTTGAAAAGCGATATTTATATATCTCTACATAGATTTATTCACAATGCTATTTTGTTCTAGTACTTATCACCATATTCGAGTCAGTTTCATGATTTCGCTCTCCGAGGAATTGGCATCTTTCCGGTTAAAGGACTGGCCTGAGTGGTCTTTACATACTTCCACAGAATTGGAGTTCTTCTCATTAAAAGAACTGCATAGGTATCGGACTGTATAGTACGAACTTACAAAGACACGTGAGTATGCGGGTGGTAGTATAATATACCAGCCTAGCTGCCCCAAATTCTGTCTTGTTTTCAAAATGAAGTTATATCAGATGCTGTCCCGACGGACAAGACCGTTTTCTGATTAGCCAATACCGTTCAATTTTAATCGATTGCTGTGTTTAATCGGTTCAAATGGAAAGAATAATTATCTGGATTCAATGTCTGATTTCGAGGAAGCAGTTTGTAATATGAATGTCTCTTCCAATCTTTCCATATGCCCTGCATCACCTACTTTGGAGAAAGGGCGAGTTTTGGAGTAGTTAACGATATTTAATTTCGTTCTCTCCAGGATATTTTCAATCTATTTATTCGGTCGAGGTAACTCGGCCATTCATTAGTCTTAACCATCACGGTACTGTCTTATAGCCGGAAAGTCATTTGGGTGGCATTCTGTAATAGATGGCCAATGTTGGTGGTACGTGATGCTTCTGCTTGCACAGAGAAGGCTTCAAAGATACAATATAAATGGCGTCCAACACCTTCAAGTGGTAAATCTAGTGCGACTTACTAAGAATAGTAAATGAGTCTACACTTTGTTGCTATTTATTTGGTTCTCTAAGATGGAGGACCCATACGTATTGCTTAGAATGTCTGAAAGAGTGTACTCAAAATTGCCGATTTTCGTTGGAACGTGTTGCTTTATTCTGACATCCGGCCTTTGAGTCGTTCTCTCTATGTAGTGTGAGCCCCAACTACATATAAACGAATAAATTAAAGAACTATTATCATTTGGAGGTAAAACGATCTTCCGCATGGGTGGAAGGAGATGCTTGTCAGAAAAGACTTCACAAGTGTTAGCAGCAAAGTAACAATGTCGAAACGCTAAGGAAACCCGCTTAGCATATTGTTGTGTATGATACACCTAATTTACATAAGTGGAGTACCGACCATATAAATATGGGTTGGTACCGGAAGACGAGGGAAGATTAAGAGATCGAATCCAGAGACTCTGCCCGACTGCGACTTAGTCAACCCATTCTGCAGGAACAGTCTTCCCAAGAATATACCAAACTACCTGTAAATATTGTGTACCTTTTTTCATTGTTTCAATACATTTTGTTACGTACATTTTGTGTTGTATTATTATTATTCCATGCTTATTCAAGCTTCAACACATATCTATCACTGATATTACCCAGCGATGGAATTCTCAGGTATACAGGACATCTTTGTACCATAGCTGGTTTAACTGGGCTTCCAACTAATTTCCATCTACTCAATATTTCCCCCAACACATATTGTCAATCTCTTTTTAGTGATAATTCTATTATAATTTATTAACCTCGATTTAGCTCAGTTGAGCGAGGTTCGAAACCGGTTCGCTAGTACGTTTTTCAGTTTTGCTTTTTATCTACTATCATCATGAGTGGTAATGAAAATAAATTTTGTCTTTTATGGCGGCCATAAACTTTTTGCCCCACAAATCAAATATTTATATTTATATATATATATATATATATATATATATATATATATATATATATATATATATATATATATATATCTTAACTTAAAATTAACACACACACACACACACACACACACACATATATATATATATATATATATATATATATATATATATATATATATATTAGAAAAATATATATATAAATATATATTTGTTGATAGAATGTGAATTTAGACCCTGAGTTTCACGCTTTAGCGATCGTCAGACAAACTCTGACGATCGCTAAAGCGTGACACCCAGGGTCACAAACTCACATCTATCCAACCAAATATGTTAGCTCTATCTCTGATATTGAGCGCTTTCTAATAAGTACCGCGCATATAATATATAAATAATTATATCTATATATATATATTTATATTTATATACACTTTTCACATATATATGAGGAAAAAAAATACGTATTCAAAGATAATGCTTATATTAAAACGGAGGCGTTCTGTAGAAAAACGAACAACCTTTTCAAGATTAATTGTTGAATATAGACTCGTTCATTTATTATGAATAAAGCATCTGCTCAACGGAATCGAGGTCACAATTTGAGTCGCATAGAATAGCAGTGAGCCGTACGCATTGCCGCACTGAACTATATCATTCGCTATTATTGCAATATTAATCAATGCCCCTCATAGGATTAAACCTATTCTTCACATTCTTTCGTTCTAGTGTTTTACTTAGAATATTATTATCCACAACTATAATCTATTGAATTTAATCTCTACAAATGTACATACACAAAGTACATTTATTTTTAATTATAATCATTATGAATGTAGGTAGCATTTTATATCCTTATAAATTTTCTTTACAGTAAAATTCTATCTATGCTAATATATTATCTGATAATAATATTTGATCCTAGAAATAACTGTCTTTTAGTTTACGAAATTTATCGTCATTAATTTACACATATCATATTAATTGTTGCTAACAAGGGAGAAATGACACATCCACTGAGATAGGCATATTAATTCACGCTCGAATTAACAAGGGAAAATATTCCTTGTACGTAAAGGTGTTCGCTAAAGATATGCATTAATGATAGATGTTTCTATGATATTAAATCTCCTAAACAATTTGACTCTTGTAACATAAACCTGCGAAATGCTTCCTTTGATTAAAAATAGGTATGCTTGCTTTCAGTTCTCCAGAGTGCATGTGAACTGACATTTAATATCATTGGAAGCAAATAGATTCACAAGCCACAAAGAAGTGTCATAATGATTATTCGTAAGTCCGTCTATTGTGGCAATCTGAGTAAATTAACGATTGAGATTCCTATGTAAAAATCTAACATATGCCTCCATATCATTTATTACGCTTTTGGCTTTTTTGCATAATGATAATCCCCGACACAACACTGAACCTAGTAATCGCCTTCAGTGAAACGACTTTAACCATTAACTGTATCGATAAACAGAATTAACACCGGATATTAACTTCATCGCTAATAAAGAAAAAAGGTTTCGGACAACCTTCCGAGAATGACTGAAAGCAATAACTTATTGAAAGGTATCATTACTTCATATATGCCATAATACATCATAAAATACTGCTTATTTTATTAGGAAGTATCTTCTTAAATTTGAAACGTCGATGTTTTGAAAATGTTGGTCTATTGGGGATAGTGTATTGGAAACTTTTAGTAACAAAAACGCCATCTGAAATCCAGTCACTGGCTTGTAAAATTTAACCGTAGCATATGTCTTCATAAAATGAAACATTGACAGCACAATTGAATTGTTGGTATGAGTGGCCGAATCGGCAAATTAAATCGCATAAATTATTTATTGTTTCTCATATTTTACTTTTAATATTCATCCTTGTTTATTTTTCATATAAACGTTCGATATATAGAGAGTTCCTAAATAACTGAAATGCATTAATTTCGACATTGTACATTAGTGTGTTTATACTAATAAACGCGAAAATATAAATCGACGTATAGAGCAAAAAAAAAAAAATCCGTTTTTGGCCAATTCAGAGTATATATACATTGGAAGACGAAATAATCTAACTTGAAAATATTCTTCTGCCCCGATTAGATAGATAGATCTATCTATCTATCTATCTATCTATCTATCTATCTATCTATCTATTTAAGTTTTCTATCAATCTATCTATCTATCTATCTATCTATCTATCTATCTATCTATCTATCTATCTATCATTTGAAGATTTCTCAGTCCAATTCAAGTACCGGAACAAATTGAACAAATAAACATCAGTATTTTTGGAGCGTTTCTTAGACAAGTTAGGAACATTCATTTTCAACAATTCATGGTGAGCACACGCGCGCATATATATATATATATATATATATATATATATATATATATATATATGGCGTGGAGAGTATTTGAGAACATATTTAGCAAGGCACATGGAGAAGTAGTAACTTATTTTTAAGCACCATAAGCCAAGTTTTAACATTCGCCTTTCTTTTTCAGACATATCGAAAGCATTTCCATAGCATCTTCCAATCTGACAAAGGAAATTAAAAGGCACATTGTGCCTGTGGCACTAGCCGCGAACCATAGCGACTCTGAGGTAGCCGGTTTGTTTATAGTAGCCAGGTCCTTCGTGGTCAATATCACCAATGAGCTGCAGACCTCTAGCATGTCTCTTTTTAGAATTCTTATAATTCAGCTCACTTGAAAACATACCCCAGAACGCTAAATCTGTCTGCTGTATAGGTAACTCTTTTCTAATATATCCCAACAAAACTAAATAACCAAATCTCGAAGGTAAACATAGGTGAGAAGACAATTGAATTGACGTAAGTAGAAAAAAAAAAACTCTTAACTTTACTTTATATTCTGTTAATTCAAACTGATATAAGTTTTAAAATAAATGCTTATTATATTATATGGATAAATGAAGAATGAATGCATTCTTCTTTTAATCACATTACAAAAATACGATATCTTAGAATCTTCAAAGTTTGCAACTCACAATATCTACTTAAATAAAAACATTTCAAAATAAATACTTAGAAACTTCTCCATTAACCTGTTCATTTCAAATACATTGCCAAATGAAAAATAGGACAAAATCTACAAAACTAAAAATAAAATATGAAAAATACAAATATATATCCTTGTATATGCATCTCTCTTAACGATGTGGGTGGACACGGCTTTCCCCATCACTATGTCTTTTATTCTAATTACTTTTATATAAATTATCATCCCTCTTTATTCCAGATATTTCAATACAATCTGTAAAAAAATGTTTATTAGCCTTTTACTTCTACTTTTCATCCTTGGGTCTTCCCTGCGAGAGTTAATATTCTAAAATTGCTTTATTACTTATGTGTATCAGAGATTTCCAATTGCAATCATGAGTTTCTCTCATGGTTCCTATCTTGCTTGAAAATACACATTGCTCATAAGTTCTATTCATATTATTCTTGGCATCCATATGCAGAACATTTCATATCAAGAGATTGTCCAGCATTTACTACCATATAGAAGGTAAGATATTATATAGATGTTTACCAACATTTCTCTTGCTTCTAACGACATTTATGTTTGGAAAACGCCTAGAACTTGTCAATAAGAAATTCTTGTTGGCTTCTATGACAAAGCAATTCTGCAGAGAGGAAGAATAACATAAGGGAAAACTTTTGAGGAACTATGGAACTCATATTCTTTGGGTACTGTCACTGGATCTAACAAACAGTACCCAAAGAGTGTGAGTTCAATACCCGGTTAAGGCAGTGGAGAACTTGGAAAGGGGAATTGACTGGAGATAATTGATAACTGGCATACATTAAATATGGCATGTGGAACTAGAACAGTCTATTCCAGTGAGCAAAATATAGGGTTCAGTTCGATATTCCAGCCTCCTGAAGAAGGCCGGAGCGTACAACGGCTGAAACGTTGTAATAAATACGGCACCAAAAGATGAGGACAATAGTCCAAATAATGTAAATAGTGGACATAATACCTCATCTCAGAAATATAGACAGACACTGACGCTTTTGCCTCGATTGAGAATTTTGCTTGTGATTCTCCAGAATTCTCGCAAAACAAGTTTTTTTTTTGTTTTCAACCTTAGCTAGGACTGGCAGTGCATCCTACTATAAGTTGCTATGTGCTAGAAATAGTAATATGATTCGGGTGAGTTAGGAAAATAGCACTTTCAAGCATAAAGTAAGGATGGTTATTCGAATTTTGTTGTTATTTTCTGCAGGATAAGATATTCCATGCCAGAAAGCTTGGGTCTAAAAAAATATCTTCCTATAAAATGTGATTTCATAGGGTGACATCGCGTTTTCATCAATTTCAGCCTTCATTATTAAATGAAATCATCTTACATTAAAATACTACGAAACCTGAGAATGTCTTCCGTATACACATCCTGTTTGTTAGGATGTTGGTAATGTGATGAAACCAATTATCAAGATTTAATTAGCCCTAAACACACTCTTGGCCAACTCATTTTAAGTGGCTATCAATAGGTCGCTGGATGGATCAGCACATGTCAGTTGATTTGTATGTGAACGTAATTTTAGCTTCAAATAAAATAAAATACTTATAA